AAGACCCAACTATATGCTGTCTACAAGAAACTTCAAATATAACAGTATAGGTAGTTAGTAAGTAAAAGGATGGAAAAAGATACATCATGCAAACGTTAATTAAAAGAAGCAGGAGTGGCTTTCAAATAAAGTAATATCAGTAAAGTAGACTTCAGAGTAAAGAAAAATACCAGAAGTAGAGATTATATAATGACAAAAATGTCCGTCCACCAAGAAGACATAAGAATACGAAATGTGTATGAACCAAAGAGAGCTGCAAACTATGTGAAGCAAAAACTGATAGAACTAAAAGGAGAAATAGACAAATCCACAATTATTGTTGGATACTTCACACCCCTGTCTCAACAATTGATAGAAGAATTAGAAAATCCGGAAGGATATAGAACTCAAGAAAACCATCAGCCAACAGAATCTCATCAACATTTATAGAACATTCTATTCAACAAGAGCATCTACACATATTCTTTTCAAGTGGCCACTGAACATGATACCAAGGTAGACCGTATCCTGGGTCATAATAAACCTTAACAACCTCATAAAAATTGAAATTACCCAGTAAATTCTCCAACCACTATAGAATCGAACTAGGAATAAATAACAGAAAGGTAGCAGGGAAATCTCCAAACATTTGGAAATGAAATGACGCACTTAAAATAATTCATGAGTTGAATAGGAAATTTCAATGAAAAAATAATTTCAAAAAAATACATTGACCTAAATGAAAATGTAACATATTAAAATATTTGGGACATAGCTAAAGCACTGCTGAGAGGAAAATGTATAGTGCTAAATGTGTTCATTAGAACTAAAAAAGGAAAAGTGTCAAATCAATAATCTAAGCTCCTACGTTAAGAACCTAGAAAAAGATGACCAAAATAAACCCAAAGCAAGCAGAGGGGAGGAAATAAAGAGCAGAAGTCAATGAAATTGAAAAAAGAAAAACAAGAGAGAAAATCAGTGAAACCAAGAGCTGTTTCTTTGAAAAGATTAACAAAATTGACAAACCTTTGGCAAGACTGACAAAAAAAGAGAAAAGACACAAATTTCCTGTGTCAGGAATGAAACAGAGACTATCACTGCAGACCTTGCAGACCTCAAAAGGGTAATAAAGTAATCTAGTGAACAACACTACTTAAATAAATTTGACAAACAGAGATGAAATGGATCAAAAGGCATGTTACTGTAACTCACTCCATGTGAATTAGATAATTTGAGTATCCATATAACTAATTAATTAAGGAAACTGAATTCATAATTTAAAAACTCCCCCCAAAAGAATGGTTTCACTGGAGAATTCTACCAAGTGTTTAAAGAATAATGAAGGGCCGGCCCAGTGGCTTAGTGGTTAAGTGCGCGCGCTCCGCTGCTGGTGGCCCGGGTTCGGATCCCGGGTGCGCACCGACGCACCACTTCTCCGGCCATGCTGAGGCCGCGTCCCGCATACAGCAACTAGAAGGATGTGCAGCTATGACATACAACTATCTACTGGGGCTTTGGGGGGGTGGGGAAGAATAATGAAAACCAATTTTACACAATGTCTTCCAGAAAATAGAAGAGGAGGGTTATTACCAGTGGGGGAAACTGAGTAAAAGGTATACAGGATCTGTGTGTATTATTCCTTGCCACTGCATGTGAACCTACCATCATCTAAAAATAAAGAGTTTAACTTAAAAAAGTAACCAGAAAAAAAAAGATATTTTATACGGAAAAACCAAGCTAAGAGTGACAACGGACCTCTTCTTGGAAATCATATGAGCTGAAAGATAGTAGAGTAATATCTTTCAGTAAATTATTTCAGTAAATACTGAAAGAAAAAAAAAGAAAACTTAAGCCATTTGATTCCAGAGCCTGTACTCTTAATCATTTCTCTATGCTGCATCATAAAGATAATAAAAACAAAGATAGATGGAGCAAGTAGATATACTGCTGTTTCCTTTTGTGTGCTCTGGGGAATTAGAGCTACCATCCTTTGAAAAGATGATCAGCAACTATTCCTCGTCCCTGATCTGTTTCTGTTCAGTTTTCTTTACTTCAACAGTTTTTTTAAAGTAAAATTGGTTAGGGCCGGCCCCGTGGCTTAGCGGTTAAGTGCGTGCGCTCCGCTGCCGGCGGCCCGGGTTCGGATCCCGGGTGCGCACCGAGGCACCGCTCCTCC